AATGATTTAAGAAAATTATCATAATATATGATTAATTGAAACAAACAGGATAAACAAGTGTATATGTATCAAAAAAAACAAGAACACGAACTTAAAAAAAAAAAAAGGAAAAAAGTAAACCCCCAAAAACCTCAAAAAAAAAAACTTTACCTAAATTATGGTAAATAACAGAGAAATAATTTTTTCTTTATACTTTACACTGCATTATCTTCTTTATATTTTTTATATTGTGCTTTTTCAAATATTCTGAAAAAAGCATGGACTATTTTTCTCTTTATAAAAGTTTTATTTGTTTTTAATTAGAGACTATAAATGGATATTTTCTTGTTACAAATAAAAAGCTCAAAGAATACAGATAGAAGTTCCCTTTGACCACCACTCTAGGATGAGAATCTCCCTAGAAGTAACAACTAACTTCAGTTTAGTGTTTATCTTTTCAGATGTTTTTCTGTGTACTTTCATATATATTTATATTCATTTAAATATGCTATGTTTAACAATATGCATCATGTAGAACACACTTTTCCACAATTTTTTAAACTTAATAATATATCTTCGTATCTATTTTATTATTTTTAACTACTCTGTGACATTCTAGAGCTTAAATTCCCTACTGTTTGGTACATACTTTGTAAGTTTTCTCTATTACAAACATTCTACAATAAATCCTTAAATCTCCTTAAATGGCTGTACCAATTTACCTTCCCAAGAGCAGTATATGAGAATATAATTACCTCTAAATCAGTGGTTCTCAACCTGGGGCAACTGTTCCTCCCCACAATAGTTTATTTGGCAAGGTCTGGAATCATTTTTGGTTGTCACAACTGGAGTGGGGAGTAGTGCTACTGGCATCTATTGGGTCAGGGATACTGCTAAATATTCTATATTGCATGGAAAAGCAACAAAGAATTATCTGTCCCCAAACGTCAACAGTGCTGAGGTTGAGAAACCTACTCTAAATCCTGACAGTTAATATCAAACATTCAACATTTTTAAGTTTATTAGTAAACTTGGGTACTAATAAGCTGTGCGTCTTTTCATATTTATTTTATTGATCAAATGTATTACCTCTTCTGTTAATTGCCTGTTCGCATTCTTTGCTATTTCTCAACCGAATATGTGTCATTTTCCTGATTCATTTACATAATCTAGATCTTAATCCATGCTCTCCATGTTTCCAAACACTTCACTTCACTAATTTGTTTATGATGCTTTTTATCCTACAGAAGTTTTTAACCTTAATGTACTCAAATTAATCAATATTTTGTTGTATAACTTTCATTTTTAAGGCTTATTTAAGAAAGAATTTCCTTTTTCAAAGTGATACACATATTCTTTTATTTTCTTCTAGGAGAATCAAATTTGTATTTTTGTATTTACATCCTTAATTTATTTGTCAGATTTTTTGGGGTGAATGATTTGAAGTAGAACAACAACAAAAAAAAAAACACTGTTTTTTCTAAATGAACTGTCCCAAAACATTCCTTGAACTGAGTCTTTTTCTCTATAATGTTGCCATTTGCAGACATGTCTTCATGTTCTCACCTGCGATTCTTTCTTCATTATACTCTAGTCAGTGTTCCATTCTCACCAAGCCACTGAGACTGCCAACGTCAAGGGCCACAGTGACTTCCATGCTGCCAAAGCCAATGGTCACTTCTCCATCCTTAACTTTCCTGGGCTTTGGCATGTCCCCTGCCATGCACCACTCCCTTCTTGAAGCACTTTCTTTCCTTGGTTTCGATGACCCCACACTCTCTTGACTTACAATCCAGTGTCACTGGCCACTCCTTTTTAGTTTCTATAGTTGGCTCTAATTCTTCGCCTTCATTTTAAAACTCTAGAGTGTGCCAGGACTCACTTCAGAGCCCCTTCTACTTCTCTATTCACACTCTCCCTTTAGATAAGCCAATCTGGTTCCATGTCTTTATATAGTATCCACATGCCCTTGACTACCTGATCTGCATGCTTATCCTTGACCTCTCTCGGAACTTTAGAGTCCTATCCTTTTCTTTCTGCCTGGCATCTCTACATGGAGGCTTCATGGGTATCTGAAACTCTACATATCTAAATCAGAACTCTTGATTCCCCTCCCTGCAAAGCCTGCTTTGCCACCAGGCTTTCTAGTCAGCCACGTTCATCAGACCAAAAATCTAAGACATACTCTCAATTCCTCACTTTAGCATTCCAAATCCCACCCACCACCCACAGTCCTCTTGACTCTACCTCAGAAATAGAATTTTCTTCTCTTCCTCCCAGCAATGCCATTCCTAGCCCAAACTACCATCATCTCTTCACTAGACTTCTGCAGGACTCTTCTAACGGGTGCTGTTTCTGCCAAGCTTGCCTCATTTCTGCTCCTTAAATGTACACAGCAAAGCCATTCTCTCACAGGGACTTTTGTACTAATCCTGCCATGAGCTCTGCTGACACACTGTTCTTTGGCTCTTAGTCTGGCTAAAGCCAAAAAATCACAACGACCTCAGCATAAACATTATCTCTGGAGAGAAGCCTTTCCTGATTATCTAACAAAATGCCCAAGTTTCCTTATGTAGGTGCTCTATTAAAATAGAGTTCTCTGCAGAGTATTAATAATATGTTCTTGCTTATTTTTCATTGATCTCTTTCACCTGTAGCTTCCCACTACTAGAATGTTAAGTTCCATAAGAGCACTGACACACAAGTCTCACCCTGAGCCTCAGTCCTTTCAGATGGCTACAACTGAAAACCATAGACTGAGTGACTTATAAAGGGCAGAAATTTATTTCTCACAGTTCTGAAGGCCAGAAAGTTTAGTGAGGGCCTGCTTCCTGGTGCTTAGATGAGATAGCCATCTTCTTACCGTGTCCTTACATGGCAGAGAGGGAAGGGAGTTCTACAGGGTTTTTTTTTTTTTATATATATATATATATAAGAACACTAATCCCCTTCATAAGGGCTCCACCCTCATGACCTGATCGCTCCCCCAAAACCCCACCTCCTAATATCATAATGTGATGATATTAGGCCAGGATTTTAACATAGGAATTTTAGGGGAATACATTCAGTCTATAGCATCCGGTAACAAAGTACCTAGCACACAAGTGCTCAATAGATATTTGGGCTTATTTTTTGAAACTCTAATCAATTCCATTGTTATATTTATTTTTTCACAAATAGCACATGTTTTTATTACAATAGCTTTAGTAGATATTTTAATATCTAATAAAGAATTATTCTCTCCCCACACAATATTCCTTTCCAAAATTGGCTTTTCTAAGCCAATTTTGTGAACTACTTATTTTACATGAATTGCAGACTCAGATGATGATGTTTCATGTTAAATTCTGTTGGAATTTTGATTGGTATTAATTTTAATTTATAGTTTACTTTAAGGAAAATTGACATCTACACAGTGCTGAGGCTTCATATTAAAAATACGATGTATTGCCCCACTTATTTAAACATTTTTTGTCCTTTGATTTAGTTTTACTGTTTCCTTTTTATCATTTTTGAAGTTATTTAATAATTAATTAATTAATTGATTTCAAAAATTGTTAGAATGTATGTTTTTCTGTTATACTTGTTAATTTCCAACATATAGGATGGCTCAAGTATCCAGACTCTATTGAGGTCACTTATTTGATCTAATAATTTGTAGTTGGTTTTTTGATTTGCTAAAGGAGATGATCACATTATTTCACAGAATGCTTCTTCCAACTTTTTTAGATGTCATATGTCATTGCCTGAGACCTCCTGAAAAATGCTCAGAAGCAATATTAATGTGGGCATCCCTGTCTTGCTCCATGTATTCAAAGAACCATCATTGAGTATGATGTTTGATCTATAGCTTTTTAAATAATATTTTTAAGAAATAGGCTTCACAATGAAGAAAAACAGAAAAATGATCATATGTCTTGCGAAAACCCTACAATGTTTTAATAACAGCAATTCCTTAATTGTTGAGCTTCCTTTATGAGGCAGAGTATTCAAATTTTTGATATTTTATTCCTAACCACCAGAGCACTACTACAAAGTGGGATATTTTTCACCATTTTAAAAATGAGGACATCTTGGCTCAGAGACTCAAGTAATTTATCATAGTTCACAAAATCTAATAAGCAATTAAGCAGGGAATTATAGCCACTGTATCTAGCTCCAAAGCCCACACTCCTCCCACCATATTCCATTTTTAATTCCATGAGCTATTAGGCCAAGCCTTTCAACATGCCCTGGTGGAAAAGATAACAAATGTGCCCTAGGTTTATGGGCTAATTCATAACCAGATCCAAAGAATGTCTATTCTGATGTCAATTATGAAAGAGCTTTCAAAATAAAAAGTCATAGAGATCTATTTTTGTCACTAACAGCTATATCTTTTAAAATGAATTGCTTACATCAAGGCCAAGAAGGTAAAGGCGCAAATAACCAAGTCGACCAGGGAAATTAATACAATGGATTACAGAACAGAGATTTTTAAAAATCTAAAGAGCTGAAACACTGGGCCAAAACTAGCAAGAAAAAATTCAAATGGTTACAAGTAAAAGATTGACTCTTAGGTTCAAAAATATCAAATGCACACAAATAGGATGTGCATAACTATGGTCCCTATGAAAACGACCTAGCAGTTTAAACCAAAAGCTAACTTTGTACAACATGCTTGCCAGGTATATTCAATACAATTTCATTATGTTTGAATATTATTGTTATTGATTATATTACGAGGTTAATAGTACCACTGTCTATAATCTTAAAATACATAATTTAGTTATAGTAATTATATTTTAATTGGCATACCCCAGTGAGGATGCAAGTCATTAGCAGATATCTGTTTTGATCAAGCCCAGGATGCAGAAAATTTCAGAGGGACCCCCAAGACTTTCCATATTGGTTAGATAACTCTTGGGGAACAGGGAGTTCACAAAACAATGAGCCCATTCCTCGTGGGCTCAAGCTCATCACAATTGGAATATCCTCCATTAAAAAATCATCCTCACAGCTCTTGTGTAATCTGTACTCACCGCTACTCCTGTCTTATATAGGAGGTAATGCACAGTCTGGGTGACGTCGGCGGCATGCATTAAATTGTGGTAAGGATTCTTATGTTTGCTGTATCCCACTTCCAGGGCCTCCACAAACGAGACAAGTGCAGAAATGGGGATCTGAAAGACAGTGGTGAGGTTAAGTAACTTGTGACTTAGCTGCCGTAGGTGAACAAGCAAAAATCTAAGGCACCACTCTGCTCCTTTCTGGAGGCATACAAGGAAATTAGAATTTTTTATAGTTAATAAAAATCACTAAAACAATTATCAGATAATTTGAAAATCTAACAGGAAGTCCCTGTTTGAGGACTGATCTGCCTTGCAAATTTGTTCTTTGTTCCTCAGTTCAGAACCCCTGGGAAATGACACAGAATCATTTCAAAGACATTTAGTTTTATTCACATGTAGAGAAATGATTTTTGATGCACATGTAGAAAACTAAGTTATTGGTGACCATGCTACTTTTTTGTATTTCCTTGTTCTCTTCTACCCTTAAATAACCTCCCCCTCAACTCCAAGGGGAAAAGAGATGCTACACAGTGCAACGAACACTGAGGAACACAGAAATAGTACTAATAATTAGTACCATTTTGTGGAATCATTTACCATTTGTAATATAAGTGGAATGAGTCCTTCCAAATTGTTAGTCACAAATAGTAAAGTAATAAACATTACTTATTGCCAAGTAACAAAAATAAGAACATACCCAGTTTCTGTTCACATATATAACAGACTATCACATTTTAGTTTGCATTTTGGGTTTGGGTTTTGGTTTCAGTGTTTTTGTTTCATGTGTCCAATGCATACAACCATTCCTTTGAAAGGGCACAGTTTTTAGGAAATCAGTATTTCCTCCAATACTGGTGGAAGCTTGTGTTTGTTTTACAGTAATTTTATAACTTAAGATTTTGTGTACTTTGTTTTCCCACAAACAAATGAGACATGCTGCATGCTATGTGCTGATATATTTCTCAAGAAATAAAAGACCTGAGCCTTTGACTACCAGTAACTCAGAATAATATTTCCAATTAGCCTAATTGTTTTACCATCTGAAATATGTATAATATGCATGCCTTTCTTTTCTCTGTAGCAGAAAATGAAGAATGGTTGCAAAATACTAATACAAGTACAAAATAAGGGCATCCTGGCAACAATCATTGTATTGGTTTTCTGGATCAATTCCATGGTTCGGGGTAAATTATGCAATATAAGGCTGGGGGAAAAGGAGAGAATGTGTGTTCCTAGAGATTAATAATCATATTAGTAAGGAAAAGAAATCAAGAAAATGCTACTATAATGCTTCTGAAATTCCATAACCTATTCTTCCTTGGGCATATTCATTCTAAAAATAAAGATCCAATAAACTTGGGTTCTCTGGGTTGTTCTTGGGAGATCCATGAGCCACTGAAATGGCTTTGTGTGTTCGTACACAGGAACTTTGTTCTGAGGAAAGGGTCTCCAGCATCCACCAGATTTTCATGCAGGTTTCTGATGCAGAACAAATTAAGGACCTAAGGACCACTGCCATAAAGTATTTGTGGGATGTAAGAAATACATCCCCAAATACACAGTCTTTAGGAAAGTGATAAAGAACCCTGTGTTTGGAGAAATCAATATGTTGTACAGAAAAAGACCTGCATTTTCCAGAGGCCTATTTATGTGATGAGAGAAGTCTGATGTCACAGATGCCGGCAGATGAATACGTAGGTTTGCTTGAGAATCGGCCCCACCTGAGATCTGTGCAGTACTAGAAGGCTGAGGTAGGTGAACACTGGGAAAGGATTCATGCTCTTTATTTAAAGTTGAAGAATTAATTTGAAGCATGAATGGGTGGAAAATACCAATGATCTGTCACAGATGATAAGTGAGAGTATTTGTCTGAATGAGCCAAGTGGTGGGGGAAAAGTTTACAGAGACAGCAGATGGTCGCTCTGTCTCCATTACTGTCTCTCTGACGGCGGTGGTCGACAGTACACAAAGTCATATCGAAATGAGATCTGCGGGCAGAGCCCAGGGCAGTGCTCAGCTATTTCAGGCTTCACGTTGTACTTCCAGGAAGACTGGAATATAAACAGGCTTTTCCAGCCTCTCCCCTGCCGGTGAGACCCACCAGCAAGGGTGTAACCCACAGTACCCACCACAGAGGAATTCCCAGCAGTGGCTACCCCAGCCACACTTCCTGAGTCACCCAGAGCAGTTTTCATTCTGCATTAAAAGGGTCTTAGCCTGAAAGCCATATGAGGATGGACAAATGTGTGCAGTTCATTTATTTATCTTTTAATGAGGCACTAACCTTGAAACGGCTGATCAGATCATAGCGTGTGAGTAATTCATAGAAAATAAACTTCAGTGCATGATCCCCACTTGCCTCATTGAGGGAAAAGACATCAAACGACCACTTGTCGACATCCTGCAGGACAGGGCGTGAGAAAGAACACGTTAGCTCACAGTCGCATACCCACTAATCTCCCATTTTCGGGTCTGCCTACAGCCCTCACTCAAGCTTTCACAGACTGAGACTCTAACACCTTTTTCACTCACAAACTTTTTCCAATCTGGCAGTCCTACCTAGTATTTATTGTTAAAACATTAAATAGTCTTATTACTAATAACGATAGCCATAGTTTATTGAGTGCCTACTATACGATAGGCATTATGATTGGTGATAAATATGTAACTTATGCTGAAAACAACTCTAAGTGATAGGTGTTATTAGTCACATATTACAGATGAGAAAATGGGTAAGTTACCTAATTTCCCTCAGACCTGTCAGGAGTAAATGCTAGGGACACAGGTGGGGCCAAAACACAAACACAGGTTGGATGCCTAAGGTCAGGATCTTGCCATAAAGTCCTGCAGCTGCTTAATGCAATGGCCCAAGGTGTGTCCCTCCTCAACTTTCTCTCCACCCTTTGACACTATCCAATGACTTCCTCTAAGTCCGCAGTTGAGAATGTTAACTCATTTAAAAGTGTTCGGAAACATGCATGGTATAGAATATAAAATAGTATCTCAGGTCAATCTAAAACTCTGGGCTGAAACCAAAGAGAAAGCATTCATTTCATAGGACAGAAAAATGCTACCATTTCTGGAATCATCAATCTGGGATCTTGTCCTCAATTTGTAAGTCATTTTACTGAAAAAAGTAAAAGGAAAAACCTAACCGAACACATACATTATACACCATCCATGAAATTCAAAGTCTTTTTTGTCCATAAACAGAATGTAAACATATTTTATTCCTTTGTAACATATTACATATTAAATGCCTTTGACTTATCATAACCAACTACTTGTGAGTACAGTAAACAAAGGTGTGTTTAAGCAATAGCTAAAGCAATAGTCATCTGGATTCTCATTGCATCAAAAGTCTCACTCCCTGCAGTTAAATAAAATGTATTGACTTGAGTTTGACAATACGTACCCACATGAGACCACACTGAGGACAGACAAGGTGTCAGATGGTGCCCTGGTGGAGACCTTGGCTTTCATGAGTGACTCTCACTCCAGCCCTCAGCATCCCGACATCCATCCATCCCAATCTTGTGCCTCTCCAAACGTTTCAACCTCAAATTCATCCCAAGGCCATCAAGGGTCTCTCTCATGGATACCAGGGGAACGGTTGTCAGGCAAAACTGAATTGTATTTAGGGAAAACCAAACTTTTCCAAAAGGGTTTCAACTGAATTGCTTCAACTCACACTTAGTGGTAACGTCACTTCAGTCCTCAATAATTGCCCCTCAGTTAAAATAACTAAAGAAATAGCTACAAGAACTGAGCACATTTTCTGTGCTGGGCACAGTGTGAAATGTTTATACACAGTCTCAAAACCTCACAACTCTAGAAATAGGTGTTACTTTCTCCAGTTTTAGAGATGGCAAGCTCAGAGAAATTAAATCAAGTGTAGCAGAGCTAGGTAGTACCCCACTGATCTCACTGCCAACAGATAAAACTGTAAACTCAATGATTATGTCCTGTGACCCAGGCCTCACCCTTTGGGCCCAGGCCACAGACATCAAGGCCCTTTCAGATTAACCCCAACACCTAATGCTCTAACTTGATTACTCTAATTAATACTGCCACGAATCATATATACTGTATGATCTTCAGTACTAAGGAAAAGCCCCTGAAAACTTGGTAGGCTGGAAAATGTGTCGCATCTGACAGTGTTTTAATCCTAGTCTCCAGAATGAACAAAATAAGGATAGGTTCTCTACCACTGAAAACAAACATATTATCATAGCAAAAGGATTTTTTCTAAATATCAGGACAGAAGGATAGGTAAATAGAGACCATGAAATGAATGCCTTCTTTGGCCTCATTTTAGCGAAAGCTTAACTGTGATTCTCAAATTTTAATGTTCTTCAGAACCAACTGAGGGGCTCAGTAAAAATACTGATTCTTGGGTAGGGGACTCCAAAGAATCCCGGTGTGGGGCCTGGAATCTGCATTTTAACAAGCACCCAGTTTAAATGCCTTAAACCTTTTGCAAAATTTTGCCCAAGGACAATTCCTATGGAGAAACTGCATGAACTTCCCGGCAGTCTAACGTAAAGGAAGCCTGAACCTTCTCCCAATTTAAAGCTGGAGTCTATCCACGGTGTTGCTTCCTGAGTCACGGGACAGATGCCTCCTAAAGAAGGGCACATGGCTACGTTTCCAGCAGGCTCATCTCAGAAGACTAGAGATAAATGCCTCAAATGAGAAGTTTTATGTGTGTGTGTGTGTGTGTGTATTAAAAAGACAGAAAAAATGAAAAGAACATAATGCAACATATTTCAAATTTAGAGATTGGTGGTGGTTAATTATTCCTTTACTTAAATGTCACTTTATGCCACGCTCTTACATTAACCACAAAGGTTAACATGACAGTAGCATAATGGTTATTTTAGTGAATTGTATTCTCTCAGTATATGGGGAAAATTTCTGTAATAGAAGAAAATAGTACTGATTCCATATGAACTGCTGGAAATGAAGTGGAAATAATTTTTTTCTAACAGGCACTACATAAAGAAAGAAAAAAGAATCTATCTCTAATGATCTCTCTAACTCACTGCAAATAAAACCAGAGTCTGGGGAAGTGAAAAAATATTACATCATAAAAAGCTTTGAACTTCCCCAGTAAACAAGTGACAAGGCCCAGAAAAACAGCAGCTTTAGCCTTAATGCACATATCAGCAATGTATGCAGAGAAAGATAGCAATTTAGTGAGTTAGCACTTAATTCCTTGTCTGAATAATCTAAATATCTTCCCCCTCCTAAAGACATGTGTGCATCTGAGAATTTCTTTTCCCTAAGTATAAAATAAATTCATGCACATCACAGGTTGTTTCACATTTTTCCAGTTTTCTGGAAAAAAAAGGCATCCATTTGGAAGAAACATTTTCATAAATGTCTTGCTACCAGTATACCCACTTGTATTTACGCTCATGATAAAGAAAGAAATTAAGGACAAAATATGCTTTTAATGTTTCTAAGACTCCCCTTGAACATTTCTGGTTCAATTATGAAAATCAATGCAACTTTATAGTGGGTGCTATGAAACATCAGATCCTCAGAAGTGATTTCACTGATCAAAATGAGAAATATTCCTGTAGATTACACTGATGTGCGCCCCACATCAGTGTGGGGGTTAAAGAGGACCAAGAGGAACACATATCTTCCTGCTGTGTCTTTCCTGAGTATCCTTCTTGCTTCTAAGATGAATTTTCTTAAGAGACATAGAAAGTGGAGTCAGAAAAAGGAGAAGAGAATCTGTACATATCTGGTCTCTCAAATTCAGCTAGTGAATGTCTCTGAGACAAGAGAAAGGACAATGAATATATCATCAAAATGGTCCAAGGGGCTCTTTCCTGACATTAAATTAATCAAGAAGTACTCCCACCCCCAGTTCCATGAATAAGTAATTTATCTCCTGAAAATAACATCAGATAATACATTTTTCATGTTTCAGAGAAAAACCGAAATGGCTTTAGCAAAGGTCAAAATGCTACAATGTCCCTGAGCAAGTAGATCAACTTCATGTGTAGACATCATACAACGTCAACCAGCCCAGGGATCCTGGGCCCCAGCACAGCCCCATCTTGGAATCCAGAAGCCAAATAAGGTCAAGCACATCTCGAATACCCTCAGACCAGTGGATCTGAATGAACACTTGCCTACAGGAACGATGGATCCACTTTGGAGCTTTTAAAGATATTCTACACAATTCCAAGAGCTTGCCTGATTGGGAGTAATTCTGCAGGATTTAGCTCATTTAAACTGAAACATCTGCATGACTTCCCATGGAACATTTGGCTCAGTGAGAGTCTTGGGAAAACAGTAGGATATATGTTGTATAGAGGTAACAAGGGCTCTGGGGCTATACTCTCATGTAGTAAAATGTTACTAAGAGCTTACTATGTGCTGGAAACTCTGGTACCAGAACTTAGTTCTATCTTTAAATAAATAACTCTGTCTTTTTCACATCTCACTGAGTCTCACTGAGTCTTATTTTCTTCATCTATAAAATGGACTTGCTGTAGGTAATCAGATAATGGAACAATTATTACAATCACTAAAGATCCTTCTAATGTTGAATACTTATAGCCATAACATATTTGATCTCCTATGGCCAAAGTCAGATGAATCTCCTAACGCCAGATCACTGTATAAAACCTAAACTATTTTAGGGAACTAGAAATGAAATGAAACCCACACAGAGTTTGATTTTTAAAAAATTAGGAATGTGAAGACTGAAAAGATATTTTACTACTAGAACAGATAAGAAAATGAAAATGAAAGAATAAAGTCAGGAATAAATAGAAAAGAACTGTATATGAAAGCCTCTTATTTTCTAACAACAAATTTAACTGTACTTTTTGCAAAGTATCATGTACATTATAAAACCTTTTCATTGGTATTACCTTTAATGCTTCAATAACAGCTGGTGGGTAGCTCAGTCCAACCATGTTTGATGTCCGTCTATACATTCTGCGAAGTCAAAAGGGAGAAATGTAATATGATATCTTACAAAGAAGGATTAGCAGTTCCCAGACTGATATTAAGTATTAACAAATAATGGGAAGTCATGCTGTCTGGTAACTCAAGGAACCTAAAATCTTTTTTGACATTTTTCCTAGTCATTCAAGTGGTCTAAGTGTTAAATTCAAAAGAAATTAAAGCAATCCCAAATACATGAACCATTGGGGGGAAAAATAACATTATGTGCTCCACATTGGAAATTGAATTATTAACCAGTTCACCTCTTTTGCCAGAGTGAATTATAGCACAGCATGGACAGTATGCAGTGTAGTAATTTAATCTGAATGAAGAACTTCTATGGGCAACCCACTGAGAAGAGTTTGTTCCTTAGAACTGCCCAACACAAGAAGGAAAAAAATGTTGCAGGTGAACTTTGAACTCACCATGGTATTTCTAAAACATGTAATTATCCAATATGGATTATAGGAAGACTATTTCTGGAGAAATAGATTTCTGGGCAATACGATTTCAAAGAACAAAACGGCTAATAAAATTGAAGGGTCAGGGAGAACTCAAACCTCTTAAATAAACTGTTCTTCCTGGGTCAGCAACTTCAAAGCCTCCCTGACCTGTTCCAAATGTGGACAACATCTGTATATTTCAAAGGATGATGAATTGGATGATTTCCTTCTATAAAAATTAGAGACTGAACTCAGACTAAATCTTCTCTGCTTAACAAAAAGAATTCTGAGCAAAGGCAAAGCTTGTCCTAATGATGCTACAGAGATTAAAACAGGTATGGTTTTTGTCATTTCTCATTCGGGACTCTTTCTATCCACAATTTCCAGTGTTTATAAAAGCATCAAAACTACACTGAAGTGGAGTTTCCAGTTATTGGAAACTGGATTCCTTTCGCAGCTCTGGTCATTGAATGACAACAAATGCCGTCTTTACCTCTCCACAAATATCCCAGCCTGCACTGCGTGGACGATGCTCTTGAACCTGGGCTTCTCCTCGCTCCTCCGGAGCATCATCCCCATCTGCCGTGTAAAGGTGGAGGCCAGCCAGTCTCGGACCTCAGAAGGCACTGCATCTGACTGAATGTCACTGAGCTCATCCTCCGTATCCAGGAGCCGCCTGGACATAGAAACAGAATCAGGACAGTGAGATTAAACCTGAAGTTAGAGCTCTCTGCTCAAAGCAGCTCCTCTTCTCCACCTCACCTGCATGCAGGTGCAAAGAAACCAGATTAAATCGCTCACAAGAAATACAGCACCTTTTTGATAATAAGGCTTGTGAAAGCTCACCGCTTGTGTTTCAGGATGGCTTTTTCTACCAGATTGGGCAAAGGGACAAAGGGACGAAGGGATCCCAATACACTCCATCTCAGGCTCCAAGGGTGGCAGATACACTGGACTCAGAAGCACCTGGTATCTTTATTCCTAGAAGGCTTGTGGAATTAAATGGAATTTAAACTTTGCACTTAAAAATGCCCTCACAAGGAGCCTAAAATTATTTCATGGATGGACCATGTGGCATTATTTTGTTAAAAAAAATGGACACAAAAGACATTCTATAAAAAAGACATTTGCACTCGAATGTTTGTAACAGTGCAATTCACAGCTGCAAAGATGTGGAAACAACCCAAGTGCCCATCAATACATGAGTGGATTAATAAAATGTGGTATATGTATACCATGGAGTACTACTCAGCTATAAGAAACAATGGTGATATGGCACCTCTTGTATTTTCCAGGATACAGCTGGAATCCATTCCACTAAGTGAAGTATCCCAAGAATGGAAAAATAAGCACCACACGTACTCACCAGCAAATTGGTTTCACTGACTAAGTGGACATATAGGAATAACATTTATTGGGCATCGGCCAGATGGAAGGGGAGTGGAGGGGATGGGTATATAACGTGTTTCCCCGGGAATAAGACCTACCCATAAAATAAGCCCTAGCAGGATTTCTAAGCATTTGCATAATATAAGCCCTACCCCGAAAATAAGACCTAGTGATGGGCGTGGCTACACAGCGTGTCTGTACAACCCATGCATTTCGTCACGGAGCAATAATGAAGATGAGCAGCCCTTCCCATCTGCCCCATGAGAGCTCTATGCCGACGAGGCTCATGCTCGACATGAGGATTGGGCATGGTTCAAAGGAAATAGAGTCGCAAGAAATTCAGGGATAGAATTCAAGGTTTGGAGAGTTATGATAATGTTCCAGAAGAAGATGACTTAACTATATTTGAATAAATGTAGATTGTTGTACTGTACTTAAAAAATAACATCCCTGAAAATAAGCCCTAGGGTGTCTTCTTGAGGAAAAATAAATATAAGACTCTGTCTTATTTCGGGGAAACACGGTACATTCATAATGAGTGCATGTGCATTGTCTGGGGGATGGAATGCTTGAAGCTCTGACTCGGGTGTGAGAGGGAGACAAGGGGAATATATGTAACCTAAACATTTGTGCCCCCATAATATGCTGGTATGAAAAATGGACACTTAAAGACTTTGCAAAGTATTACTCAAATCACAGCAATCCAGTCCTCTAAGTAATGATCTTAAGCAATGTCAACTGATATTCTTCCTAGTTTGATAGGATGTTTCAGAACTTTAAATATCTAAATTCAGGCAAAATTTCAAATAATGCAGTTCTTTATGATTTAAGTTATCTGATGGCTTTTAGTCAATTTTCAAGCTTGTTCACAGGTCAGACCACTAGAAGGGAACATAAATATAATGCTGCAATAAAACCTAAAATTACATTTTATATTTATATTAAGCCCAACTAAAAATAAACAGTAATAGTAGGTGTCAATGTAAAGGTGTTTGGTTTTTTTTACTCCCTATATACATATTGATGATGGGGGGGGGATCATGACATTTGGAAAAAGCTGTGATATCAAATTTCCTTAAACTAGGACCAAGCAGTCCCAAAAAAATAAACCATATAATTCTTAGATAACAGTTAAATACTTCCAGATTGGATATTGGCAAAGAAAAGTAAGACATACTGACAGAGATGCCTGTCTGAATTAAGAAAAAAAAAAAACTTTCATATTCAACATTTCAACATTTTAAAAAGAAAACAATTTTATTACTTTCAAATACATTTAGTAACTGGAACTGCTTTAATACTTTTAGATAATTCAAATAAAAGGTCTACTAAGAAAATCAGTAACATACATAAGACTGAGAAAGGAATCCTGGGTGCTTAACAGAATAAATGTTCTTGGTCACTTCAGAACTTTCATTTACTGATTGATATTGTGAATTAAACATAAATACAATTTTTAGACTAACACTAACAATATGCAATAATTGCAATGGAATTCTACATTTGATAAAAAAACTTACCAGATTTTTAAAATAACTTTTTCTCTCTTACATTATCTCACTTCATGGTCATAACAGCCAAATAAAATACATCCTATTAGCTCCTTTTATTGATGAGGAGGTACAAAGAATAAATGACTTGTCAAATCTATCCCATTTGTTTGTAGAAACTGAAGCTCCAAGAAGATTAATTTGAACGCTACCACATACCTTCCATGGGGGACAATTTCAGAAAACCATTTAACAGAGAATTTATTATCACTATGCAATCTCTATCATTTTTAGCTTACCTGGTTTCATCAATGTATAAGATTCAAGCACTGTGGCTGCATATTCCAAATTCTTCTTAAGATCTACCACTGAGGCCTCCCCTCTCTCTAATTGTTTAACCAGAGACCGTAACTGGGGGGAAAAGGTAAGATTTCTTTAGAATAGAGAAATCAAAGAATAATTCTACAATTATGGTGATACGTTCCACAGTCACTGAATGTTTTTATTTATTACATCTGAAAGGAAAATAATTATGGGTCAAAGAGCAAGTCATAAAATAAATCCATACATTTTTGCCATTGTGAAGCAAGAACAAAAATGTTCTTATCAACCAGGCACTGACTACCCTCAACATTTTCTAGCTACTTTTTATCTTTATAATTCCTAAATTATCAATAATTTGCTTTTTTTCAAATTTTTATCTTTTGTTCTAATTGGATGTAGTAAAGCAAGACCAGTAGCAACATCGCCAAACATTTCTGGGGATTCTGCTCTGTCGAAGGCACTTTGTTCCCCATGGCCAGAGAGAACAGCATCTCTGTTCCAAGATAAGTGAAAAGATTTCAACACCAAACAGAACCATAAGAGGGCTATAGAAGGAATAGATAAAGATAGAGTATTTTGTTGGACAGGAAGAATCATTCTAAGAGCAGATAATACCCTAATTAAAAAAAAAAATAGGATGAATTTTAAATCAAAGAGTTTCAGACAGTAAAAGAGAGACAGTAAAATATGTTCTTCTCTTATTTGTATGAAATTATCTGCACAGAGAAGGACTTAGTTATATAAGAGCAATAAAATTTCTATAGATGATGAAAATGCAGTAACTAGGAAAACTGTAAATATCACAGAGACTTGGATATTGGACAACCCTTCAGGCTATTCAATAGCCAGCAGGGAAACAGTAGAGACTTTGAAGACAAATGGGTTGAATCTCACTTCATAACGTATTAACTATGTAATACCAGGTTAGTTATTTAACTTCTCTGAGAGTTATCTTAATGGAGAGCCAAACATGAAGTTTCCCAAGTTGACAAAGAATTAAATGAAATTGATACATTGTATGTGACTCATACTTATTTTTTAAAAGGCAATTGTTATACTTATTGTCAGTCTTGTTATTCAATGATCTTGATCATCACAGGTAACCAAATAAGAAAATTCTAGCAAGATCTCAAGTCTCCACTTCCATTAGTTTATGCAATCTGTTCTCACATTCCTGACTTCAAAATATCCTCAGACTTGAATTCATAGGAGAAAATAGGTTGCCTTCTTTGGCAAGGTATGAACTACTGCCCTCCTTTATAGCTTCATGAAAATTACCAACAATAAAGAATGAGAAAAAATCCTGGATCAATCTTTAAAGTAGACAGGAGGATCAACTATACAATAATTTCCAGGAATTTCAATGATACAAATACAAATGAATTAGATTAATGGTAGTCTCTGCCTGATTTACAAATCTCTAACATGCAAAAGCAAAATACGAAAAAAAAAAAAATTCAGCAGAGGCTTTTGCAAGCTTGGAGGTAAAAGGTCAGCCCTGCGGGTACCATCAGCAGCACTAGGAAGTGCTCTGGATTTCACAGGCGCAGAGGACAGGGAGTTGGCATGGAAGGGCTTGCAGTCACTCACACACAGTGGGACGGCCAGCCTGCCAAAGAATAGCAGACAGCAGCAGCAAGCCGACTGCCGTTCCAAATAAGGACTAGAGCTCTTTAGCAAACAGATTCCTGGCTGGGTCTGTCTCCAGTTCTCACTCTCATCTCAAGGGGCCCAACTGCCTCCAAGCTCCTGGACTCTCAACTGGCAAATAAAATAAGAGTATATGTAAACTTTTTGTGAAAATTTCTCCCTTTATTTGGGGCTTGAAGATTCTCTAAGAATTGACATGAATCTCTCATAGGACCCATCTCAATTCTTGAAACCTAAGAGAAAAGACAAAGCTGAAAAAATGATGGAGAGAAATATAAGACTAATAGAGTAGCAAGAACCTAGAAGATTCTATCTCCTATAATAAGGCTTCCATATCGACATAAAAAACAGAAGCATGTTTAATCAAATGTTTTCCTATGTTAAAGTAAAATCTATATAAGCAAATGAAAAGAGATCAAATAAGATAAAAAAATAAATGATACATCCAACATATGCTATATAATTTTTGATCTCAAAGAATAAAAAAAATCTTGAAGATCTTTGGGGAAAAAATTCATTAAATTGAAATGTCCAATTTCAAAACTGAAATTGCAGTTTATTATATCTCAACAAGAAGTAGTACAATTAATCAAAGTATGTGCCTAAACTATCAACACAGTTGATCTTAACAGTAGATTGTTTATGCCAGCAGTGAAAAGCCTGGGAGAGCTAGTGGTGATGAAATCGTGAAAGGCGTTTTCCACAGCTTGTTGAGAATGAAGTATTTTTCTTGCAAGAAGTGGTCCAAAGCCTGGAAGAAGTGGTAGTCAGTGGGTGCAAAATTTGGGAGGATACTGTGGATGACAGAGAGTTTCCGAGTCCA